ATGTATGTGTATATGTATACGTATATGTATATAATATGCATTGCACATATATATGTATATACACTTGAACACACACACACACATATATATATATATATACACATGTATTTATATATGTTTATGTATATATATATATAAGATATATGTATAGAGAGAGATAGAGAGCGACATAGCGAGCGTGAGAGATTGTATGAATCAGTTGACTTATCGCCGTTAGCGATGTTCGAAAAGCATCCCCAGCCAACGGTGGAATTTGGGGGGGAGAGTTGCACCGTGACAATCTCATGCTAGGGCCCAAAGATAGTCAGCATTTGTGTGCTTTAAGGGGTGTGTGCTAGGCGGGGTGTAGGGGCATGAGGTTTAAGGAAGAACCAGAAGTCAGACAGAAGCAGTTCGAGGCCTGTCCTCAAAAACACCTAAGCTTACAGCCCTGCAGTACAGCGGGGTCCAACCTGCGCGGCCGCGTCGCTGCTTCGCATTTGCCTTTCACCGGGGTCAAAGTTGAGGGTTCAAAACCGAGCTTGAAAGGGGTCATTAAGTGTGTTGAAGCTGGTGCCTCACCAGCTTCAAGCTGTAAGAAGCCAGCAATTCCAGCACTCACCAGAACACCGCATACTCACGTACTCCCCATCGATACCCAGGTGCCCTTTCGATGACCCCGAGTCACGTTTCCTAATCTTGGGCTCGTAATATACTTTGGACCCTGGTAGCCTGTGAAAGGCTGCGGCTTTCGACACGACTCTCGGGTCGAAGGTCTGTCTGGTGCTTAGTAGGGAACGTGGGAATGGATCCCGATGATAGTCCCTTAAGGTCACTTAAGGTCCTTAATTATACTAGTCCCTATAAACCATTCCCCCATTCCCTACTAAGCACCAGACAGAGGTATTAGGGTTTAGGGCAAGCTTGTCATGCTGCTCAATATATAGTCTTGATGTGAGAAAAAAGCAGAGGCATCAAGACGAGCACGAATCGCACCAGGCACACCGATGAATGCTGGAACAAGCAAGTGAGTGCTCACTTTGAGTTTGAATGGACTGCAATAGTTTCATGCGGCTGTCTGAAGCAAGTGACATGGCATTCAATTGTTTGCTTGCAGGTTTGGCTGCCTGTGAAGCTGCGTTTGAGTTGTAGCATGAGAACCTAGTCGAAAAGAACCTTAGCTCCATCACTTCATCCTGCTGGAAATAAAGAACATTTACTGTAGGGCCTATAGACCCTGAACCAGAAACCGGACTTAGGATGGACATGAAGACCCACCTGGGTTGTAGTTTAAGTGCCTCCAAGCTTATGAACATGCACGGTAAAGGGCTCAGGCTTAGGGTTGAGGGCCATAACGGGAACTTCCAGCAATTAATGTAGGGGCCTTCAAACATTAGAACAGGATTTTGGGGCCCACTATACTGTAATATTTACAATAAGGAACCCCACCAAACAATATAGGTAATTATTTAGGCCCCTATATTACGTCGTTTACAACGACTCTGTCCTCTTAGGTTTCCTTGTCCCCAATTGGCCAAAAGCCTAAACCCTAAACCCTAAACCCCCAAACCCTAAACCCTAAACCCGGCACTGTCGGCAAGTCTGGGCCTTCGTCTCCACGCAGTCGACGAGCATCGAGATGCGATTCTGGGGGTCGTACTTGGTTTGCCTCGAACTTTTTGCCCTAAACCCTAAACCCTAAACCCTAAGCCCTAAACCCTTTCCTTACACAAGCCTAACTCCCAAACCTGGGAGTCCGAAACTTTCTTTCCCGGAAGATGTAGCACAGTCCTGGTAACTCAAAAAACACCCTAAGGGTCCATGTACCCA